TACATTCCACAATATATATTTACATACATACATATATATGTATACGTATATATTGATGAGAGAAGGTTATTCCAAAACACAATTTTCATTCATTTTTAACATATGTAAACGCTGGCATATATGTATGTATGTATGTATTTTTTTTTTTTTTTTTTTTTTTAAATCAAAAAGCCGAATCCAAACATAAACTCCAAAGAACAAAATACGTATCTACGTATTTACTACTATTATCACTAATTAAAATTGGCAACACTGATCTAAACAGCTGACGCAGGTTTCGTGCTTTGCATCACTGTCAAACATCTGCAATTTGGTCTATAATTTAACCATGAATCGTTTCACAAACGAACAACGCTTGCAAATTATTGAATTTTATTATCAAAATACGTGCTCTATTAAGAAAGTCTTCTTCCGCGCGCGCTTAGAAACTCATTTGTGGCTTAATGAGTGCGTAAATAAGCAGAATTGTTGATTTTGAAGTGAAGATCAGCCAGAAGCAAGAGCTACCCATACATCCACGAAAAAGGCACAGTTTGGTGCGGTTTATGGTCTGGTGGCATCATTGGACCGTACTTCTTCAAAGATGATGCGCATTGCAACGTAACTGTACTACCGTGAGATGATATCAGACTTTTTTTGCCCAAAATGCAAGAGCTTGACTTGCATGACATGTGGTTTCAACAAAACATTTTACATCACGTTCAGGACCGGTCAATTGGCCGCCTAGATCGTGCGATTCAGCACCTTGAGACTATTTTTTACGGGGCTATATAAAATCTTATGTCTATACAGACAATTCCGCTTCAATTGACGCATTGGTAGGATAATACTGAAGCATTTATTCGTGAGATACCGGCCGAAATGTTGAAAAGAGCATGCCATAGTTGGACTAAGCGGATGGACAATGTGAGGCGCAATCACGGTCAACATTTGCATGTAATCATTTTCAAATATTAAATTATATGGACCGTACTATCGTTTCAAATGAAGATTTCATGCATTTTTCTGAATTTTATATGTTTTTTGAAAAACTTTCGTATAGCTCTTAAAAAGTCACCCTTTATAAATTTATTGACAAAACATTTACTTAAATAAAGTCATTAAACAGTTACTATGTTATTTTACTAATAAATTCCATGCATGTCTCAGAGGGTAAGTTTCGTAGGTTTTTTGACCTATAAGTTGAGTTGATAGTGTTACCTTCGGAGGTGAAAAAATACTCCAAATTTTTACGGTTTCAATTCCTTTCAAAAGTTCCTCTGCACTGCCTTTTTTAAAGTTTTTCCGTTTAAGATATTGTTCAGCCTGGTAATTTGTCGAGCAAACCTTTAGAATAAAATTGTATAAGACCCACTTTTTAAAAAGAGATGCCATCATTCTTTCCGATTTACAACTGTCTTATTTTGCGGCAAGGATCTTATACCGAAACAAGCGCAGTTATTTTACTTTGCTAACGACGAAGCGAGTAATTTTCTTTGATCCAACAGCATTACCACAAAGAAGAAGTCTTATTCTCTCTTTCTATCTTTTGCGCACTGGAGCTGTACTTTCTTTTGAGTATACGTAAGTTTTACACAGCAGTGTTTTCCAGTTAAGGGCTGTTTCGTATGCCATAAATATTGTTTTATATGAGAGGTCGTTGCTTTTTATGACTTCTTTCATCTTGATTATGAATGGAGTGACAGCCTGTTTATTTGATCTCAACCTTCATTAAGGAATCGACTTCCACATCGCTTTTTGAATTTGGAAAACCAACGCTTGTAAGAAAAAGTTCCTCCGCAATATTTTTCATGAAATTCCAGAATTTTAGCGGTTAGTTGTACAGCACCAATGGTGATGTATGAATTTCGTTGCTCTAAGTACCACTGATTGCTAATCGCCATCGACATATTTCGTTGCTTGAAGAATTCTTTAAAAGCTCCCTCTTTTGCTTTCTTACTCGGCAAATGATCGATTCATATAACTTGTACTTGGCAGATATATCACTTTGCTTTTTGCTCAAGTTGAGAACCGTGCGAGCGGGAATTCTGCAGAAGTGACTTCCAAAAAAAGCAAGGTTGCACCGTAACGATGAATTTCACGTCAAACGAAAAATTTCTTTCGTTTCGGTTGAAACATTTGGAGATATTAACGTTTAAGCAATTATGAAAATAAATCTTTTTTCGTTTTTACCGGAAACGAAAAGCTGTCGTTAATGTTAAAACGGTAACGGGCAGCCATTTCCAAACGATGAGTTTCGTGCCGTTCAAACGTTAAGTATTTTATTTCGTTTCGATAACATGGTGCCGAAACGAAACGAATGAATTTCATTGATTGATAATTTTTCTTGTTAGCAAAACGGGATGATATCATTGCTTTAGTATTTTAAAAACAAAAGCAAATGTTATTCGTATTATCGAGCAGGAGCTCGTGAGGCTGCTCATATTCTAGAGCGTATAATGGTAAGAATATGACTTTCGTACAATTGGGCTTGTGCTATAATATATATTGTATATGTGTTCTAATCGCTCCAATGTGATGAAGTGTTTCAGCTGTATAATATCGGTGTAGCTACTGCTTAGAAATATTGGATCGATAGATCATTTTGAGCGACACCCATTGTATATATTAGACATACAAGTATATATGTAATAACTTATATACATACATAAGTATTTATCTGAGACACCTGCTGTAAGAGTAAAAAGCAGAAAGCTACCTATTCAAGTTATGCAAATTTTATTTAAATAACTTTTCCGCTCTTGTTCAAGTACAATATATAAATATAAATCGAATACTTTTTTTTCGATAAATATCGTGCACGTGTAGTAATTGTGCATATTAATAAAATATTTAGGTAAAAATAAACTTGAATATTTTTATGATAGTTAAGAGGCATCAAATGAACTGAGTGTTGAATACCAACCCACCGGATCAGAAAATATTATAAACACCATTTTTAGATACCAAATAAATATTTTCTTCTATGTGCCCGTGTATACCTACAAAATGAAAGTTTCTCCAACTTGGTCTTCAAAAGCAATATTTTCTTTCTTCTCTTTAGATTTTTCAAATAAACATATGTACATCCGAATGTTTTCCGTTTAATTACGACGGATCCTTTGGAAGTAATTTTCATACCAACGTGTTAATAATATTTAATTTTTACAGGATTATACATTGTTCTTACGAAACTCCTTTTTTAATTATAAAGTGCGAACCTTGGCATTATATGCGAAACACCGCTCCGCGAGTTTTCGCAAACGTTGATCAGTTTGAGGTAATTTTTGACCAAAAGTTCAACGGTGTCAAATTGCACTGCCTCCATGGTCAATTGACATCGGCAAGACGAGAGCTGAGCGGGCGGAAAATTTTTCTCGCAATAAAGCCACATGTTATCCTCTTGGGATTATCGCTGAAACCAATTATTGTCCAAAGTCGTGTTCTTCAATTTCAGGCGCCAAGAAAAGTCGGTTATCATAGGACCATAACGCTCACTCATTTTCAAAGAATTCAGGTCCAACCAACCAAAGAGCGACCCATTGTCATTTTACTAGTTGCTATGTGATTATTCGGTGCTAAGAATATTGCTGAAGTGAGAACTTCCGCCGACTAATCACATGGCAACCAGTACATTGACGATGGACTTCCAAAAAATACGCTGAGAGACCTTATAGGGTTATTTGAGCAGGTATATTGAGCATTACCAATGGCAACCACCTTCTCATGGTCTCTTGCTTTTTCCCTATTCATGTATCTTGCCTAGTTTGCAACCGTTAGTATACAGCGAGGTAGGCACTGACCACTGCGGTCGGCATTTTTCATCGCACCAGCTCTTCCTCTGACCTTGCCCGAATCCAATAGTTTCGTTAGCAGCTGTATGTAGGGTCCCACAAATCTTTTATTCTCGTTGCTGATTAATACTCTCAGAGAGCAAGTGAACAAGTCGAGCACTTAAGCGGATGCGTACCTTGGCGTCGTTCATCTATTGCAAACTCTCCGTTTTTAAGTTTTTATATCCAGAGATAGAGAAGTAGCTCGATGAAATGTCGGCCCCTGGCGAAGAAAATCTTTCTCAACTGCTACGAAGCTGCTACGTCCCAGAAGTTGGACTAAAGATGCTTTTGTTGCACACTTGCATACCCTGACGTTAAAGTTGCAAAGTACAATATTGACATGTGACTGGGAATATATTTGTATTTTTTTATTCTAACCCAAACTATACTCGGGGGGCTGACATTACCTGCCGAGTGGCGGCAGCAAATACAAAAATTAATTTCCAATGATTTCTAATGTTGGTGGGACCAAGACTCAAGCTCTGACCTTCCGAATGACAATACGCACTGCTAACCGCTTGGCTATATCGGCTGTTCTCGGCGAACCCTACACCAAATTTTCACAAGGGCCTACTCATTTGCATCCTTATTCAGTCAATCGCAATTCAACCTTACTAGAACGACGGCACCTTACCCATTAAGATACCAGACATTTCTAGTACCCAGCTGGAAATGTTTGCAATTGGCGTCATAAAAACTGAGGCGTTTCATCCCACTCATCCAGATTTTTATGTAGTGAGGAGTTTGCCTCAAAACTGAGCCGCACCACTGCTAAACAGACTCTGCGAAAAGACTCCTAAGGAACTCTCTTTTTTAGCCATATTTCAAGGCTCCCCTTGAATTGGCTACGCGAAAAGTTACTCATGTTTCCAAGGTGGAAAACAAGGACTTAAGAGTTTGAATTGTAGCCTTGTAAATGTAACTAAATACCCAGAACCAAACGTTTACTCCCATGGAATTTCACTTAAAAACTAAATTCTTGGTTCAGACTAAGGATCTAGGAGGTGCAAATAGGTAATCAAAAGAGCGTATATATCTGTATATTAAATGAGAAAAAAATTAACGAGTTATGGCGATTGCCCCTAAGTTGTCAGAACCATTTTTTTAGACGACTGTCAGCTTCATGACAGGGTTGCATCTGCTAGCATCAACCGGTTTGGTTTTGTTTATAAATTAAAATCAACATTTTACATGCTTTAACAGCCGAAAGAATCATTAATTTATTGGTTGTGTCACTGTGAATTTCCACTTGAATTATCTTGTGCGCCAAGCCTTCAGATCAACGACTGGTATTTGGGCGCTATCACATCCCACTGGATGGTTACTGAAAGAAAAAGCAAATATTTTGTCTGAAATCAGCTACTGATTACAAAACCTACGGTGGAAAGTCAGCTTGTACAAAAGCCGATGGTGGAACTTTAGTTAACGTCAAGTGATCGGCATTATCACAGATCAGTCGAGCCATCGTCGCCTTCCGTATTTCGTGAAGCTGATCAATGGTGAATGCCCCTGGATTAACATCTCTGTTGTATTCGTAGAAATACCGATCGCCATGTTTGAATCGGGAAAATTGATCTGCGATTATTTCGGCGAACGTACTACCAACAACACCGCCATCTACTGGATTTTCAAGCAAACCGCCAACCCAAAGGTCAATATCGTCTGTATGCTTATAAACTTCGGCCAGCTTACTACCGATCTGTAAGAGGAAATGTAAATTATATACAAATTCACATATCTTTAAGTTAAAAGTAAAACCTCCTGGGGTAAGTCTTCGAAAGATTTCAACTTCCTATGCCCCATCAACTCTAGGTAATCATTGTAGCTTCGCAAACCTTGATCTCGACCACGTTGTATGTTAAAGGCTGCCAAATCCAAGCCAAACGGATTGTGACCACGAAACAAGAAGCGGCTAAGCTGTAAAAGTTTATATAGGTTTGTTGCAATGAAGTGTTGTGGTTTTTAAATGGTTTATTAAGTTACCCCGTGGGTCATGAAGCTGTCCGCTCTTTGCATTGGCTGGGTATACATAGTACGTAGCATGTTATCGTAGAAGGATCGCATGCGCATGCGTGAAGGATTGAACATTACATCGGGTATGTTGATGGTTTCGTCTACTCTATTACCCTCTTCCTTTATATGAAACTTGCCATCGACAATGGAGTGGCCCATACGAAAGGCTGCACCGGAAAACTCATTCGTAATAGCTGGGTTTACTTCTTCGCTGTAGCCCTGAGCATATCCATGATGTTGCGGCACCAATCGGAATCGTTTCATTTGCAGAGGACCGATGAGCGCAGGCAAAAACTCATTGTAGGTGATATGCTGAAGCTCCGCTATTAAAATGCGGCGAGCTTCTTGAAACAATGTTTCATCACTGAAATGAGGATTCAGTTGAGCCAAAACACCAGCAATGCGATTGTGCTCCCGTGCAAATAAAACATGCAGAGTGATCAAGGATATGATTTGGTTAGTCCGGCCGTCTCCTGTATAATGTGAGAATATAAAACTACATAAGCATGAGGATTCAAGAAGGATACCTGATTTGTAACACGTTTTGCCGGGATCGTCACTTTCGCATGCCTTTTTATCACTTATCATTGGTAGTAGATCACGACCAAAATCTCGTGACATGGTAAGTCGGCCACCGTTGAACTCGCGCAGATCACGTGCCGTGGCTTCACTCGAGCCATACACAGCCGAAGCGTCAATGAAATGTGTCACTTTGCTGCGCTGCTTGCCGTAGCCCACTTTACATTCAGTATTGGGCGCTAACGACAGTCGCACAAAATTCATACAGCGCACATTGAAAGCGCCAAAGAACTCATCATCGTGCGGTACCATTATTGGCATACAAGCAAAGTGACGTTTATGTTCGGGTAAAGCAAAAGCGCCGTTTTCGGCACAGCATTCCACTATTTCACCATTTTCTAAGTGTGAATTTAATATAATATTTTAGCAAAGGTTAAATGTTCTACAACTGCATGTGTTACCTAGGCGAACGGAAGCCGATTGTGTGACGTCATGTGCCAAAAATTGCCCAAATTGCATTAACAAAAGGTTATATTTCGGATGCGGCAAATCTATATCCTTTATAAGACGACTCGATACTTGACGAGCTCCAGGAAGCTCGCTACTGTCCACTGAATGCAAACGTGGTGTCCAGATTCCATCTTCATAAGCGGGTGGAAGCAAACGTTCCATGGGTTGGCCTGCCGAGCCCCAGAGGGAACGATGTGATAATTTATTATTACAGATACCGTCAAAAGAACGATATGGTGTGTTCGGTACACCACATTTGAGAGGTCCAGCGCAATGATGTGCCAAGGGAGTCTTCTTAAAATCCACTTGTACATTATTTGTAATTAGGTCATCTACAGGAATGTCCTCCCTAAGTAAAGAAATCTATACATTCTTGTAACTTGTGAACCTACAAACTAAAGCGCACTTACTTTTTAGAGAACAATTGTCCGGCTATGACTTGTTTAATTGCTGAATTGGACGAATGGAAGCTTTTCTTTTCATCGACCGCATTCGAATGAAAGGTGATGCCATGCAAAAACTCCGGCTGACCACGCCGAACTGGCAACATTGCCACATTGTGCATTAATTTTTCAAACTTTTGACGAGTTTGCTCCACCACAGACATTGGTAAAAAGTCGGAGGAAGGAGTACGCTCCGTACCAGGTCGGCGAGCTAAAGATTAGAAAGGAGTACAAATTGTAAGGATTTTTCATATCTGGAAAAATATATTAAATCTCAAGCCTGCCTGTGTGATTTTGACCAGTAACACAACAGTAGCCATAACTGCCGCCAGGCAGGTCACAAATCTGTGGTTTCTCGTGATCCTTCATACGTACATGCGCCGGGCATTGAATTTGTGGTACGCAAGTGATGTTGTCCGGACAAGTTTCACAATTGATTAGAAGGCTTGATTGGGGTTTATTGGAGGTTCCTTCTGGAAATTTATATTATGTTAATATATAATTATAAGTTTATGCATAAGTATGTAATTAATTAATTTCTTGTGGAAAATTAAATTTTCTCCAAAAAAAATTGAAAATTTCACTACTTAAAAGATTAAATATTATATATGTATGTATGTACATGCAAGTCTCAGTTTGGTAAGCTAAGCAGCAACAACCACTAGCGTTCGCATGTAATTGTAAATAATAATTACGTTAAAGCAGTTCATGCATCTTTTCACTGAAAAATAAAATAAATCTATAAAGCAAAAATATATCGTTTTCGGTTCACGGTTTAATATATGTTTATATAAAATGTTGCTATTAGCCTTTCATCTAATGTGCATACCCGTGGTCCATTGAATTGGTGTATCCCACGCACTGGTAGTTTGCTCCTCATTATTCTCAATGCCGTTGAAGACAGCTGCAGCAGTTGGCCTGATTGTAGTGGTGGAATCCTCCACCGATTGAGTTCGCTTGGCTTTCAACACCGAGAATCCATCAGCTTTGCAACTCAAAAAACATAAAATAATAAACACGGAAAATACAAAACTAAAACACTTTAAAATCCGCATTTTCATATTTATTTTTTAACCATTAGAGAGTAACTGAAAGGATTAAAAAAAAAATTACAATTTCATTGCAAATTATAGATGTGAAATATTTCGGTTAATTTCCATGGAATTATTTTTTATTCCGGTGTTTGTATGTATGCATTTGTATGTGTGTGGGGGATATGTAGAAATGTAGATTGGAATAACAGTGTTGTTTTATCTAAACGGTATTTAACTCCTCCAACTCATTATTGACATACATATGTATATAGGCGGATACATAAGTTCATACATACATACATATATGCTTTACATACGAGTACACCCTGCTCTGGAGGAACCGAACAAAGGTATGAAACTATTGCACTATCGGTCAAAAAAGTAAATCAACTTTCATTTTTATTATGAATTGTTTTTGTCCAGTCTAGTATTAATCTTCCTTGAATTTGTTTTAATTTATTTTTTTATATTGAAAACAATGTGGCATTAAGATATAATATTTTCTTGTACAATGACAAACAACGATAAATACCAGAAACACAAAATAAAAATTAAGTTAAATTTCCTAACTGCGGTTGCCCCTCGGCAGGGAGTGTCAACTCCTCCGAGTGTATTTTTGTCATGAATTAAAAAGTTCCTCAAAAAACTCCCATCAGCCGTTCGGAGGCGGCTTAGTCTAAACTGAGGTCCTCCATTTGTTGGAAAAACATCAAGACACACAACCACAAATGGGAGCAGGATCTCGGCCGAAAATCGCTATTATAAATATATTTTCTTGAAAATAAGTTATTTATCACCATTATTTCTGAACAACTTTTGATGAAAAATAGTTAATTAGAAGTTTTTCGAAGTTGTCTTTTTTGCAATAACAATTGAAGCGAGTTCCAGAGCTTCACCGCACTATTGAAAAATAGTCTACCTGTGCATTATAAGTTAAATCTAGGAAGAATAAGGTTTAACGTACATAAATATTTTGAGAACCAAAGTTTATTTTACAGATATTCCGCATAGAATAGCGCATAAATGAGAGATGACCGTATTTCTCTAAACTAAATATGCAGTGAATGAGAGTCTAATTTTCCTTAAAATATTCCAAAGAATGTATAATCTTTTATTCCTAATTAACTAAATTAAATTTTTCTTAATATTTAATGGTACATAAGACGAAGTTAGGCTGCAACTACCCATCACTCCCAGCCAGCATAGCAACCTATCTTATGAGACCGCTTGCCGATGCCGTTACTGACGGTTGTCCTGCAAAAAATAACCGTATTCGTAAAGTCTCTACCAGTCGGGTGGTACGGCTGTGATACACGTGAGTTATGTAGTTGCAGCATTAATCTAAGACATCCTAAATTAAAAAATATTTTTCTCAACTTCATTATCATGATCATCACACAAACGTCCGCAGTAAGTGATAAAACCCAAGTTCTTGGCTTTTCAACAAATTCGAGTCGATTGGGTAGGTAACTCGGATGGCAAAACAATATCCTTACCAATGGTTTCTACACAAGATTTTTGCGCATTGAGGCAAATTTAGTTATGCATAAATTGTTGGCATATCAGCAGAATCAACTCAAATTCAGTAGACGTATACAAATGTACATCAACAGAGAATCATGAATGACCAGCTCTGAAAGCACTCTGCGGAGAGTTACGGAGTTTATTGCTATCAATGAAATTAGATATTTGGCATGATATAAGCATCTCCAACATCTTCGAAAGTCCAGGTCCGGGTGCTTATGGGACTGAAATCAAAAACCAAGCTGTTGAGATGACCTTTGTATGTAAAATACATATATATATAAAAGAAGTAGATATATAAAGGCTAGGTTTTCCTTTACCCAAACATAGTGTTTCTATTTTAGAAATACTAAAAAGCGCGAAGCGAACGAAAAATTGCGAGTGTAAAATAAAGCGGAATCTGTGTGAACGGGAAAAGCGACACAAACAAGAAAATTACGATAATAAGCGACAAAAGTATCCTTATGTAATTTCAGGCATAGGATGCAGTATTTACAAAAAAATTTACAAATTATTGTGAAATGAGTTATTATCCAGAAATTGAAAGCCGATTTCACGATATATTTTTTATGCTGCTTGTGAATGCTTTAAATCAATAAATTCCCACGTCTGACGGCACCATAAGATACGTTGGTTGCGACCTCTGCTTACTTGCGGCGTCATCTGTAGTCAACGATATGTACGTTGGTTAAATTTACGACAAAAAATTTAATAAGAATAAAAGCAAAGAACGTATATTAATTTTTTTTGTTGTTTATGTTGCCATCGTCGCTAAAGAACGTACATTAATACACCAGGCTTCTCGTTTTTACAAGTTCTCTGGTTCCTTTCCATTAATATACGTTCTTTGTTATTAATATACGTTCTTTGTTATTAATATACGTTCCTTGATATTAATATACGTTCTTTTTCTATTGTTTCCAAATATTTTAATCATAGTTTCACACCTTGCTGTCGACAGTAACCTTTTGAAGGCCACTGAATTAGGTTAGTGAACGATCTGCATTTTCCCATCCCATTGTCATTCTACAATTCGAACATTTTCTGACAGTTGTTGGTTTTTGTTGTTGTTTGAGTTCGTTCAATCCATTCAACCATTCTCTGATTCAATTCCATTGGATTGACTGGAATTCAGTTGTGAGTTTTCATTCGAATCGTTATGTCGTGAAATTTCAGACGCGGTTGTTCGTGCGACAGTAGAATTGCAATAAATATATGTACACATAAAACCTGTTGGAAGAGTGTCTAAATTGCATTTTATTGCAAATAATTGTTGATTTATTTTGTTGTGAGCAATATTTTTTACGTGCTTAGCCAGTTTTTGGTAAAATAAAATATATGGCGACAACGCGGCGCCGCTTTTGTATTTCATGGATAAAAATCCGTTGTTGCGCTGCCGAATAGTCGCAGTTGCGCCGACGCCGACGTTTTCTGTATGAGAGTGAAAGAGATACAGTGATATATGTGTTTGTTGTTTAACACGTTAAAATTTGGAATTCCGAACGAAATTTTGCATAAAAAAATAAACAATAAAAATATGGTATTACCTTCGCTAAACTAAACAAAAAAGTGTTATTACAAATAAAGAGATATCAATAGTGTAAATAAGTTGTAAAAACATAAAATACAAATACCAAGGAGTTTAGTACGGATACTGAAGGCGGTTATTTCTAAAGTAAGCTGATTGCTGATTTTATTAAAAAAATGTGTAGTTCGTTAGTGTCATTATCATTGCGTACTGCCATACGTAAGACCAGGGTTCGAATCCCGGTTCGACCAACATTCATAATTATAGAAAAGAAATTCGGGTGTTACAAGAGGTCAAATATGTATATTTAAACTAAATATCATTGATACAAACTAATTGATTTTATATGTATGTAGGTACATTTGTCTGAACGTATATCGAAAAAAAATTTACTCGTTAAATATGAATTGGAATATGCGCATTAAGCCGGTTTGTTTATTAATATTTTTTTTCATACTTTTCTTAACTTTCTAGTGCTTTATGCTTCAACAGTCGGTTATATCTAAGGCCATTTGAACTATAAAACGACAAAATCGCGCTCAACATTGATGTGTTTTATACCTTCACAGGTACATAAGTGCATGCATATATGTATATGTTTGTTTGTGTGAATGTACTTCCAAGGGTGCGCCTTGTAATTTTCAATTCAATATATTTTATTTTGCATTCTTTGTTTTCTCGCTAACCTTCGTATTTATATTCACTCCGGAAAGTGTATTATTAATATTCCTAAGAAATCTGAGCCGCATCTCCACCACAAATCGTTCAGCCGCGAGCACACATCTACCCACTAACAAACAATACAAATATATGTATGTATGTGTATACATATGCACATATGCACATATTTTTATTTAGTCACATACCTGTCCATAGAAGTATTCGAGTTGTGAAACCATAATAAAATAAGCCTCGTCTGTGGCGAGCGTCGCCGTTGTAGTTTCGTCATCATCAGCTTTGTCGGTTCGTTAATAATGACGGTATTCTTGACTGGAAGATCGGAATTTCTACTGGATGTTGTTGTTTTTTTTATCTATTTAGTATTTTCTTTACACTGCTTATTGCTGTATTTGTTTTGTTTTAACTTTTTGGACTGTTCGTATAAGGTGCGCTCAGTTTGCTCTATCGACTCTTCTACAACTTGAAGGTTTTCGCGTTTTCTTCCATTTCGTCTTCTGTTTATATAGCCTTAAACACCCGCTCCAACCTTTTTTTTATTGCCTGGCTTGGTAATTGGCTAGCTGAATATTTTGTTCACTGTTCGCTAGTTTTTGTGGCGGCAAACGTTGTGCACATAAGTATGTATGTATGGATTTTGGTATGCAGGTGTGTACGTCTTTATATGTGAATGTATTTAGGCGTAAGCATTCTCCTCTCACACTTGGCTTTGTGGGTAAGACTCACGTCTTGGCCGCAAACTCGTTGACTGTAAAGGCGACACTGGCTCTTGCCTGTTGCATATGTTCCCTATTCTAAACGTTTTTTGTTACCGGTCATTGGACTCCATTCCATTTCCAAATTGTTTCTTGTGTTTGGTTTCTAGCCACATACATACGTACCTATAGGTTTGAGTGTAAGAGTGTATTTCTAATTTCTATTTAGCTACTGTGCCACATAATTGCACACAAATCGACATATTGGTCATTATGCAGTTCACGAAGTAGGTAATTAATAAATTTCCTAAACTCATGGAAAATCAATTAATACTCCTAAATAAATATTTATGTACGTACTCTTATGTGTGTTGTATGAAAAGAGCGGATAGTGGGCTTTAGAATTCAGGTTTTAAATTTCAAACCAGTACAATGTTACACTGATATTTTCAATGGATTGCAGAAAGAGATTGTGACCTATTAATTATATGGATACCTATGTGGAAGCAAATGTGAAATGACACTTGGTCTTTTTATTATGTGCAAATGTATGTCTATCAAGTACCCACCTACCACACCAATTACTCTTTTAACACGACATTTATTTGAGACGGTTTGAAAATTAAAACCAAAATGCTATCTATATTTTTACATAAATACTTCAAATGAACTAAATGTCCAGCATTGGAACCGTCGAAAATGTTTAGGGAACGTATTTATAGTGTAAAATAATAATATAGCGGCCGCAGCTGAGATTGTGGGGAGTCGATTCGGCGCAGTTCGCAGCAACTCAGACTGACGTTTGGAACGACTTGGCGCATATTACGTCGAGATCTTTAATTGAATGCGTACAAAATACAGCTTGTGCAAAAACTAAATGAGCTCGAACTTTCCAAGCGACATCGCTTCACTCTATTGGCTCTTAAATAGTTCCAAGAAGATCTGTTCAGCGATGAGGCTCATTTCGGGCTCAGCGGCTATGTAAAGAAGCAAATTGCGCATTTGGGACGAAGAGCAACTTTAAGAGATTCAAGAGCTACCATTTCATTTAGGAATATGAACCGTTTGCTGTGGGTTGTGTGGCGATGGAATCATCGGTCCATATTTCTTAAAAATAGGTGCCGGGGAGAACTTAACCTTTAATGGCGACCGTTATTGTGCCATGATAATCGACTATTTGATGTCTGAATTGAAGCTCGTGATCTCGGCGAAATTTGGTTCCTACAAGACGTTTCCACGTCCCACGCATCGCATCATTCAACAAATGTATTTATAAAATACTTCGGCGAGCAGATCATTTCAAGTTGTGAACTGGTCGATTGGCCACTAAGGTTTTGTGATATTACCCCGTTAGACTTTTTCCTTTGGGAATATGCAATGTCTATGAGGACAATCAGGCCTTTACCAGTCGAAATACTCGAACGAATCATTGAAAATTGGACTCAACAAATGAAATCCCAAGGATGTTCTTTGGTATAATAATAAACATTCCCCTTTAAATTTGGATATTCTTTGTTGACTTCTTAAAAAGAAGTTGAGAGGCTTGAAAAGGATCACCGTTTAAAAGTCTTATAAGCTGCATAAGATCTAAGGATCAGTACAGTTTCGTTTTACTGTAATTTTTATCTATGTGCTTATGTCTGCATTTAGCTTCATAACTTTCATTGAAACTGCTGAAGTGTTGTTGTTCTGTTGTTCGTTAAGTAAGTCATGTAAATACATAGTATATTTAGCTTGTAGGCATCTTTGTTAGTTAACAGTTTACATTACATTACCAAAACTTTAACTAACTTTTATTTACTCTACACATTCATTGCCTGCACACTTTACATATATATACGTACGTACATAAATACATATGCATACCCAACAGGGAAAGATGCTATTTGGGTACTAGAGTTACACGAGTTAACATTTTTAAATTTATTGTTCATCTTCCATCTTTTTGATATTTTTAACGTCCGAAACGTCAACTGTCAAAATAGTTTAAAACAAGTTTAATAGTGTGTTGAATTTCTATTAAGCCCAAATGATACACATTTGCCATCAAAGAGATGATTTCGCTGTTTGATTATGAAAATTACTCGTTAAAATATTTGGTGATTCATATATAACTCTACGTGTAAAATTAAATGAAATTGTTTAATGTTTCAACGTAAGTTAAATTCACCACATACTTAGGTACATAAATATCAAAGGCTAATGTTATCTGCTGTCCTAAATAGGGTTAGGTCACCGAAAGGGTGACAGCATCTAGCCGGATAAAATCCGGGTCTATTGCGATGCTTAGAACCGGCTTTTGTGATAGGTCGTTTCCTGAAAGTTTCGTTGAATGATTTAGACTGATCAAGCCTGTTTTGCCACCCAGCTGGCAAACCGATACAGCATAAATATTACACACTTTGATCTAAGCCATAAGGCCGATAAGCGACTACCTTTCTCACTTGTTCACTGCAAGACAATTACGACTATAATCAGCAAAATCCTCGGCTACCCTCTCTACCAGCTGGATGAAAGACTGCGGGGTCGTACTCGATGTAAAAGTCGATATAAACAACCCAAAGTTGATGGGAGTCACATTAGATAGCTTGCACTCCTCAAACGACTGCAAATGCCACAAAACTCCAGAACCGGTGCGAAATCCCTGAAGAGGTAGCCGGCAGCAGCTGAGGGAAAGAACAAAGAAACTTTGTGGCAACCTAAAAGGCAATTGGCCGTGGGAAGGTACCGTCTGATGTCACAACAGCATCACTTGCCCAGCAAAGCATTTATGAAACGAGTCAAGGAGCATAATGCTTTACCGTAGAAGCAATTTCTGCTGGGATGCTACCAAAGGGCAAACCAGCACCTATTGCAGACGAAGAACTCGAGCTGCCTTGATCTGGTAATTAAAATAGACTAGAAATAAATTAAACTCCTACCTATCCAGACTTGATCCCGACATACACAATGTATGCTACTAAGTGGGATTATCAAACCGTTACAACAACAACAATATATATTTAATTAGTTTGTAATTCATATCAAAAAGTAAATGTTTTGTGATAAACACAAATCTTATCTACGCCTCCTTTGTTGATCTTTTAACAAGATTGCCATAACTATTATTTACTCCGTTATTATATGAATTGTGGTCACATTTCGATTGTGGAGTTGCTTATTTTCATTTATATTTTCATTTTCCCTTAAATCAGTTCACAACTGTACATACACATATGTACACACAAATACGTAGACAAACACTAGCACCTGTTGTTGCTTTTGTTATCCACCCTTCCTAAAGGCACATTAAAAGTGAGTGCTTGGCAACCCTGCAAACTATTGAGCAATAATAGTTGATTGGTAAAGACTGATAAGTAAGATTGCATGAATTGGTCTTTTCGAACGAATCGTGGGAACATATAGAACCATTACACCTGCTGTCAAAATAATAGCTCCACAGATTTTAAACAGGTAGCGAAATGTTATTTATTCAAAAAAAAAGTTTGCAATTTTATACAAAATGTGAAAAAAAAAACATGTATCTTTTATGATGACAATCAAATTAATTCCTTTTATTTTTTTTTGGATTAAATTAAAGAAAAAATTGAAAAAATGTTAATGACAGAATTCAAAGTATTTTAACAAAAAAAAAATTCATTTTGAAAAATATAGGATCGTCTTGTTCCTGTAGCCGAACTCCAGAAGGGCCTCTTAAGTAGATTGTTGGTGGTGAGGAAAATATTTCTGCTTCAAATTATCTGAAACTCGAAAACAAAAAAAGATTGTATTATA